CTTTTATTGACCCTTTGAGTATGTTAAGCACGTATTTTGAATCTATTTATTCTCGACGTTTCGGCTGGTTTGCCATCATCAGGAGGAGTGATTACAATATAACTCGACAACGATATAATTAGGAAAAAACGATCACTGAGTTCAAGCATGTTAATTTTAAGCAAGCGCGCTCCGCCGGAATGCGCGGTAATTCAATTTCGTCTAGTCATATTCGCTGCGCGGCATATGATGAAGGCCAAAAATGCGATACGTAGCTTAATATTTCAGAGAAACTAACTTTTCAGCGATAATCGTGATTTTTTCATAAAATTGGATTGTTTTCGATCAATTCTGGAGTATTTGATTTAAAAAACTGATAAAAAATTATTTTTCATAAAATCACATTTTTCGATTTTCTAAAAGTTTTCAATGATTGAATTTTGTCGGAATCAATCATAAGATGCTTATTACTCTGTTCTGAATCGAAAACAATCAGAAATTTCATCAGAAAATAGATATAAAATTATAGAAATTTTGAACTACCTCCTAAAAATCGCGAAAATGCAGCCGAGCGCGCTTGCATCGCTTTCAGTAAAATTAACACCCTGAGAGCCCGTGAACGATATAATTAGGATGATGGCAAACCAGCCGAAACGTCGAGAATAAATAGATTCAAAATACGTGCTTAACATACTCAAAGGGTCAATAAAAGAAGGAGAACTTCATAAAATATTTCTCAAAAAATAGGAATTTTGTGCTAATTTTTCAGTTTCGCGGATCAGGAGTCCCAATAGAGAGCAGATTAAAATTTACAGAAATCTTGAATTCCCTCCGAATCTCGGAACCAATCTTACCTGAACAGTTCTCATATTGCACACCAGATATCCCACTTGTCCAGCATTCAATTCAGTGCATTTCACCATCTCCGGCCTCATAACACCGACTTCTGAGACATCATAAGTCTTATCATTTTGATACGATCGAATTTTATCTCCCTTCTTCACGGATCCCTCTTTCACCATAACATGAGCAATTGCTCCGCGGAAATGATCGAAATAAGAGTCAAAAATCATCGATCGAAACGGTGCATCAACTATTGCAGTTGGCGCTGGAACTCGATCGATTATCGCGTTGAGCACCTTCTCCACGTTTAATCCGCTCTTCGCCGAAATGTGAATACATTCTTCTGGATTGAACTCGAATAGCGTTTTTAATTGAGTTTCTACCTAAAAATGCATTTTTCTTTTCTTAAAATCCACGAGTTTTCCAACTCACTGACTTGATATCAGCGCCTGGAAGATCAATTTTGTTGATAACCGGAATGATTTGAATATTTTTCTCGAAAGCCAGCCAAAAGTTTGCGATGGTCTGCGCTTGAACGCCTTGATTTGCAGCGACAAGAAGGAGAATTCCATCACAAACTGCTAAACTTCTAGAGACTTCTGCTGAAAAATCCACGTGGCCCGGAGTATCGATTAAATTCAGCAGGTATCCTTTGTGACGAAGAGCTGCTGTCTGTGCTTTCACTGTGATTCCTCGTTCTCTTTCTACTTGAAGTTTATCCAACATCTGTTGCTGACCCGGTGGCACTGCTCCACAAATTTCTAACAGTCTATCGGCAAGCGTTGATTTTCCATGATCAACATGGGCCACAACTCCAAAGTTTCGGATTCTATCCGGAGTGAATTCGGTGAGATTCACCAGTTTCGTAGGATCTCCTGCCGATGAATAGTGCCTACATACTTCCCGTAATCTGATATAAAATGAAAATTGTAATAACCGTCGTCGATTCATTTATTTTCTGGAAAAAAAGTTGTTTTCTTGGTTTGAGTTGCCAAAATAAAACAAGGAGCTTGAAAAAAAAATTAATTATTTAATTTTGCTGCAATCTCGCTCCATCGACACGCGTTAAAGATAAGAGACGCAGAGACTTTTCTACTTTTATTTTTTTGTCATTTTAAATAAGCGAATTCCTGTAAAAAAATCAGTTTATTCAATTCAAAAAATGCTTCAAAAAAGTAAAAAAATTATTGAGAATTATTTAAAATAAAACTGGAATTATAGTTTAGCGGGAGGGATTGCAAAATGACGAATTTAGGAAACATGGGATATCAGTGCTTTGGCTATCATGGGGAGGATTAAAACGTTTGAGTTTTTTAAGGTAGAAAGTAAATGATAAAATTTGAAAAAAAAGAGAGAAAGTGGCCAAATTTTGGGGGTGATTATGGGATTCCGATTTCGGTGTGATCTTCAATTTCAACTCTGCGAAGTGGAGGAAGTTGAAGATCATCACCCAAGTCATCAACATCATCCTCAAAAAGAAATTGGTCGAAAGGGTTGTAGGGTTGTTCTACATCAGGTATAACATTATCAGGTGGCCAGATAAAGGTTTCAGTTATAGCAACAGAAGAATTAGGTATAGGTCTTCCTAAACGGTCATATGGGAAATGAACAATCTGAAAACGAAATTGTTCGGGAAACAAAAAAGGGAATTCATACTCTCGGATCCACTGGATCGTGTTGTGCGGGTTGTTCTTCAATAAACACCACTTCATCATCTTCTTCCTCATCCGCTTCTTCTTCTTCATGGTCATCATCCAATTCTATTATCTCTGGATCATTTCCGTTTCCTTGTTCTTCCTCTGCTCTTGGTGCTGGTTCTGCTTCCTCTGGACGATTAGTTGTTATTGCTCTTGCTTCGGGTGCTGGTGGATGATCAAGTACTATTGCATGTGCTGCTGGTGGTGCTGGTCCTGCAGCATCATCAGGTTTCAGTTCAACAACTTCTTTGTCTTCTGGAGCTTTCGGCTCTGGAGCCGGTTCTTCCTCCTCCTCCTCTTCCTCATCATCCTCCTCAACCACAGTTCTCTTCTTCTTTTTTGGCACTGGACTCTCACTATCTTCTGAATCAACCTCTTCTTCTTCACTGGCTTTTTTGGCGGCAGCAGCAGAGGAAGACGCCTCCTGCTCTTCTTCAGAATCACTATCCGGACGGATCTCTCCTCCAGCTAGTCGTTGTCTTACTGGAGCAGTTTTCGCTTTTGTAGGTGGTGGTCGACGGGCTGGTGGTGGTGGAGGTGCTTTCTTGGCGACAGCTTTCAGACGTTTCTTCTCCTGTTCCTCCTGTTTACGTGCCTCGAAGTAGGCTGGGATGAGGAGGGGATCGGCAATGTTCGATTTCGGTTCCCAACTGTTGTGGCTGAAAATTAGGATGTTTCAAGATGGGAGAGCATGCGAAATAACTAGCAAGGGAATGTTTTTCTCACGTGGGTAAGTAATTATCTATAAATTCGTGTTCTAAAAGTAGACGCTCCTGTGACTGAATTTCGAAATTCCCAGCCCTCACTGGAGAGTCTGGAAATCTTAATCTGAAATCGCCACATCAATGATGCGGACCGGATATTCAGATAAGGATTCCCAGACTCTTGGGCTCCAGTGAGAGCTGGAAATTTCAAAATTTAATCACAGACGCGTCACTTCTAGACCATCAATTTACAAAAAATTCCTAACCCATTTGAAAAAACAAAAAAAAATTATCGTTCCAAAATCAGCTACCGTTAGGCTTTTTCTCTATCTCAATAACACCTCTAATAGAGGGACACCCTACCACTTAGAGATCTTATCTTGACGGACAAAGTTTTCCGCTAATGACATTTTTTTGCTACTGGTGTTCAAAAACACGATAAAAATTAAAAATATCTTCATTGAAGATTCCTCACACTTTATCATAAACTAACCTCTCATCATAATCAGCCCACTTGATCAGGAACTCTTGCTTTCCCTGAAAAACGAAAATTATGTATCTCGTTCTGCGTCTCTTTTAGTCTAGATCTCTTTACTTTTATTTTCGAATGAAATAGACTCCTTTGGCTATACACTTTCAGAAAAAAAAAGAATCACGTATGGTTATGTACAAAAACAAAAAATTCTGATTCATACCTTTCTGGTCTTCCGATGATTCAAGATTCTCTCAACGACGTAAAACGTCTCCGACGGAACAAACGCCATTTTTCTAAAAATGTACTATGGATTAGAGAGATAGGAATAGGAGAGAAATTTGAGAGTTGAAGAAAACAATGGGAGAAATTGTGTTGCAAAGTTTTTGTTGCTGTAAATCCTCAAATAGAAGTGCATACAAATTTGAAGGCAATTCATGTTCGATGCTCAGAAAAATCAGAAGGTGGAACATTTCTATTTTTTGTGCGAGGACTAAAGATATAATTTTCCAAAAAAAATCGGAAAACTTATGAAAACTTAAAAATTAGAGTCAAAAATTGAAAACGCGCCGAATCGATCTGAATGAATTCGGCACAAAAATTTCGGAAAATCCAAAAAGGAATTTCTAACACGGAAAGAGAATTAAAACTCAAAGAAGAATGAACATTTAAAAAATGAAAATCATAATATTTCGAAAATGTTCAAAATTTCTATTGTGTCAAATTTAGACCGAGGAATTCCGTTTTTCGAAAATTTGAGTTTTCAATAAAATGTCACCTCACTCTCTCAATGTTCTGGATCTTTAAACCCAGAAACCTCTCAGAAAAAACAATTCTGAAAACGAAAACTGGTGATCTTCAAAAAACTTCAAAAACTGATTGCCATGAATTTCGTAAAAATTTTAGACTGAGCACATTTTTCGAAATTTTTCGATTTCACGAAACTGTTTTTCGCCTAAATTCACTATTTCTATTACCAAACTTCAAAAAAAAAAGAAATCAATTCGGTCACTCGACACTTCCAATACACAAAGAACGGCCTCTCTTTCTGCACCTCGCTTTACTACAGTCATTGGGGGGTTGGTTGAGAAGGGGAAGGGCCCCAAGGTCATTCAACAGAGAACTGAGCGTGTATAGATACGCACACTTGTTTGTTTAGTAAGAACGTTCTTTTGAAAGGAGAACGTTCCACAAAAAGGTTTCAATCAATTCTGGTGCATACCTTGCTTTGATGAAGGTGTCGCGGGGAAGGGAACATACCCCCTCCCCCACCTGGTTTTAAAGGCAATCAGAGGGCATACTAATTTCGGCGTGGGTGGCGCAGTGGGTAACGCTTCAGTCTTCCACGCGAAGACTCTCTGGTTCGAATCCATCGCGTTGAAAATTTGTGTTTTTTTCTTTTTTTTTTCTTAATTTTTTTGTTGCATAACTTAATTAGACGCTTCAGGTAAGTTGCGAAACTTGGGGATCACCCAAAAAACTAAAAAAAATTCGAAAAAGACACCGCACAGCAGAGAAAGTGAGAAAGACCAAGAATAGGTTTTGGAGAGAAGAAAGAGAGAAAAAGAGAAAAATAAAAAAAGAAAATAAGTGAGGAGAGAGAAAGACGACGTTGTCGGTCGGTCGGTCGGTCGGTTTGTTTGTGTGTGTGTGCGCGTGTCCGTGAGCGTCGCCCTGTGAGTCTTTTTTGCCTTCTCACACTCTCTTCACCGCCGATCTTCTTCGCCCCGACAGTTTGTATGCTTTCTCTCTCTCTCTCTCTCTCTCTCTTTTGGCTCTCTTGTTGTCGGAGGAGGAGGAGGTGTCCATCGCTTCGCTCGCAAGTAAGCAAGCAAACCAGTGGTTTTCTCTTCTTCTCTCAACTACTTTTGCATTAGGTTGGCGGCATTTATGGAGAAGCGAGAGAGAGAGAGAGAGAGAGAGAAAGAAAAGGGGAAAAATATTTTGATGATGATGATGATGTTATATTGCGTGTTATTATATGAATCATAACAACAAACAACAAAGGGGTGCCCTAAAAAGATTACGGTAGCAAAAAGCAGCACAAAAGGAAAAGAGGGTCCTAAAACAATTTTTATGGAAGGTAAGAATAACGGGATCCGAGTGAGCTAAACCCTTCAATAAAAGTGCACCTCATTATCCAGTTTTCATAATTTGGGTAGCAGAAAAAGTATATAAAGCTAGGGTGCCAAATAAAAATAATGTCTCTTCTGGGTTTCAACCTGTGAAAATATACAAATGGCGGTTCTAAAATTATTGGTACTAATCTAGAAAAAAAAGTGTGCAGTTCTATTACAGTTGCCACGGCACTATCAAATTTAAAATTGAATAACTCCCGGAGCACAATTAGAATTTTTGAAATTCAAAATGAGTTATCATGAAAAACGCAAACAGTCAGTCACGAAACATCAAATCAACAAACCTTCAAACTGATAACATGACAATGGAAGTCACACAGTCCCCATCCACTTTCTAAACAAGTACAACTGATAAAAATGAACAAAGAAAAATAGTTGTTGGATGGTGAAATGTATATTCAAAATTGGAAGGAAATAGTGACATGGACTCGTGCTGGATGGAGCAAAATTGGCTGCAATTTTGAAACTTAAAGAAGACATTATGTGAGCAAGATGATGATGATGAAGTCGACCTGAGCAAACAACTGAGCAAGAACTGTAGTCTCCTGTTATATCACAAAATTTAGGTATCACCAAAAAATTTTTTTTGGGAAAGCTCATGAGTCAGAACTGCCAACAGTTGAAAAGTTTTCTGTAAAATTTTATTATGATTATTGTCATTTGAAGCGATTTCAACGTTCTTAAGTGACAATTAACGGAGTGATGACGTTGCTCAGAATAAAAAATCAACATGCTCAGAATGTAAAGGAACGAAGGCCTAAACTTGCTCAGAATAAAAAAAAACAGGAAAAAATTGAATTGCTCAGAATAATGAAGGGTAATTAGGTCCAAAATTGACGAGTTTAGGCATACTCACACAACCTTTCATTTTGCAACTTTCTGGATAAAAAACTGATGGCGTTTTCAAAAAGTAACTTTATAAAATCATTTATCCAAAAATCTTAATTCCCAATCAATAGAAACTTCAAGCCTACTTCTCCACTGGTGCTGCATCTGGATCTGGCTCCGAATCCTCTGTAATCTGATCCTTCGTCTCATACAGAACACATTGATCCGGACGCATCTTGATCTGAAATTCTTGATTTTCAGACTCCTCAGTTCAGAATTCAAAAGCTCATACCCGTTGATCATGTGGCACTGGAGCCCGCTTATCAATCGATTTTTCAGTTTCCGGAGATCTGGGACGACGGAAATTCGGATCACGTTCCTCAAGTTTTCGGATATCCTTGAAACGAGCCTCGTGTTTGTCACACGCCGCCATGAGCTCTCTTTCAAGCTCTTCCTCTTCTTTTGGGTCCTGTAATGATGGAATAGAGGCTACAGAGACTACAAACTACAAACTACAAAGACTACAAACCTTTTCATTATCCACATTTCCCTTGTACGCCACCATTTTCGGATCGAAAATCATATCAGTTGCAGCCACCCGAGTGACACGTTCATGAACGGCCGCTGCAAAATGCAAACTTGGGTAAAAAACAAAAAAAAACTTACGATTATCAGTTTCCTCAATAGTGGTCTGCATTTTCTCTTTGATGTCGTCGTAATTAATAGCATCGGGTATCTCTTCTTTATTTTCAGAGTTCGGCTCGTTTTGTCTGGAAATATGTATATTGGGGATAGAGCAGAGGATGAATTTGTCAGTAGAGTTCTTGGCTTACTGTAATAACTACCGTAGTCTTACATTAATCTTCACTATTTTTCGTTTGCGTACTACTGGGGCCCCGTTAATACTACATGCAAAAAATTGAACAATTCCGTTCATTCCGATTTTCCGATACTCCGTTTTTTCCGATACTTTTTCCCGATATTTCCGATACTCCGTTCTGTTCACGTTTTCAAAGAATAGGGTTACTGTAGCAACCGTAATTTTACAGTAATCCGAGCTCCAAACAGTTGAGAACTAGAAACGAACCAAACAGTTCAAATAAAATTCGATCAAAGTGAAAAAGCGTGGGTTCGAACTTTTTTGAACTCAAATTGTTGATAAAAGGGATCAAGTTTCGAAACAGTCAAGTTTCACAGAACAACACCGTAATATCGGAGCATCGTTGCACACCCCCTACTAGACCCTAGGCCCCGCCCACCTGCACACAATAGATGGTGGATGGCGGAACCCGTGAGGTGTCTGCTGCAGTGTACATAGGGGGTATATAACGGGGGTGCCCTACTGGTCATAACACCCGCACAGTACACGATGGTCCTGGCCCGGCCACGTAGTACTAAGGGAGTAGCCAGTAACGTCTCTGAGGACAACTTCTCTTCTCTTCTCTACATCGACAATCAAAGGGACAACTCTAGCAACTTCATCAGGACAACTAAAGGATCACTTCAGGACTATAACTACCCCCTAGTGCATGCAGCCCCCACCCCTTTTTGCAATTCTGTAGAATTTTCCAATTTCCACGGAAACGAGTTGATTACAAAAACGCTAATTTCATCATAGACCCCTGTGATCATATTATGATGAATATCCTTCTTTTCAAAAATGAATCCCTAAAAATGCGCTGACAACGGTCTGAGAAAACTCGAAGTTCGGCCCGTTGCAAGTATGGAAAAACCCGCTAACCCTCCTCTCCCCCAAGGCTGTCAAAATGTCGGCCGCTGCCGAAATCTGGTTTCTGGACCAGATTTTTTCTGTTTGTCCGCTGCTCGGAAGTTACGGCGGCCTAGCGGCCCTGGTAGAAGGACCCCAAGTTTAGTATGTTTATAATAAGACGGTCGACCACGCCTTCTACGGCCCTAGGCCGCGGCCGCCATTTCGACAGCCTTTCTCTCCCCCATGTCCCTTACATCTGCCCATTTGGCACCCCATCCGTTGTTTTCGCCTGCCCAGTGGTCTTCTTCTTCCGAGACGAAGATCCCTTCTCTCCTGTTTTTCCACTCTTCTTTGATCCATTTTTGCCTTGTTTTGACTTTGCCTTTTTCCCGTCTCCACTCTTTCCACTCTTCTTATCCGACTTCTGAACATCCTCTCCGGATTTTTTGGCTTCAAGGGATTTGCGTTTATTTTTCGGTGACAAAATGACTGACTGCTCAAGGAAGTTTTTTGATCCGTGCGGTGACTGCTGAATAGAGATTTTATTTTTAGTCCCAGACATTCGGTAGATCAAAACATTTTCCTCACCGAACTCTTCTCCTGTTTCTTTTTGGAGCATTGAAAAATGAGTGAGATGCACATTACAAACCCAATCAACATTTCGATTGTCAATCTCGCTGAAAATTCAAATTTCAGGGTTAGAGCGCATTTGCCGACAACTTACAGAATATTGTGCTTTTGATGTCACTGAAAATTCGACCAAACTGAAGCATGTTGGAGTGTTGTGATGTGGTTTTCATAAATGTTTTATTGATTCTCGTGAATGGAGGATTTTCGGTTTTCCGGTTTCGAAAAGATTTTTTTGGGGAAAGGTCACGTGAGGAGTTTCAAAATAAAAAATCAAATCAATTTGAAAAATGAAAAAAAAAAACAATTTTTGAGATTAGGCTCCGCCCATTTTATGGTTGAAACTTTTTATCTTTTTGTACTCAAAAACCCTATTTTCGGATATTTTGAAAAATCGGTTTATCCTGTAGTTTGTAGTCCCAGTAGTCTTTGTAGCGGGAATGAGCTTGACCATAGTGCTACGGTCAGAAATAAAAATGGGAAACGGAAGAAGGAATACTGTGGTGCAAACACTACTTTGTTGGCTGAAGAAATGTACAGTTTCGTTACTTCATCGTTCTGGAATGTTTCATCTCACACGAATGTTTTTGATGGCACAGTAGTATTGTCCATCGTGTTGAGACCTTTCAAATAATAATTGCATGCGCCTCCAAAAATCGTTATAAGCATGACATTTATTTGAAAACAATTGGTCTCAAAAAAGCAAAAAAGGGATGGGGCTGCATGCACTAGTGGAGTAGTTATAGTCCTGAAGTGATCCTGTAGTTGTCCTGATGAAGTTGCTAGAGTTGTCCTTGCTATTGTCGATGTAGAGAAGAGAAGAGAAGTTGTCCTCAGAGACGTTACTGGCTACTCCCTTAGTACTACGTGGCCGGGCCAGGACCATCGTGTACTGTGCGGGTGTTATGACCAGTAGGGCACCCCCGTTATATACCCCCTATGCACACTGCAGCAGACACCTCACGGGTTCCGCCAACCACCATCTATTGTGTGTAGGTGGGCGGAGTCTGGGGGATGACAGGGGGTGTGCAACGATGCACCGATATTACGGTATTGCTCTGTATTAACTTTTATTTTGA